TCCCCATGATGGATGAAGTTTCCCGCCTGACGCCATAAAGAAATATTGCTACAGATGGCGTCTTGTGCACGTGACCTTTACAATCAAGGTGTGCGTTGGACAAGGTGAAGCACAGTTGGCCTTTTTGAGGATTTGCATCCCCGGTAAGACCTAGGAACGCCATTTTAGATATATGGAATATATATCGAAGATGTTAATTTACGAGGCAAAACATAAATCAAACCGAAATTTGTTTTCTGAGATTAAAATCTAAATGCGAAATATATTCTGTTGCGGTTAGGTTTGTCTTGCATTCCAATTAACGAGTTGCACCAAATACAACTGTGGATTGCACAAAATACAACTGTGGATTACACAACGGTGAATTGTACAAAATATACCTGTGCATTGCACAAAATACAACCGTGAATTGTACAAAATACAAATGTGGATTGCACAAAATACAAATGCGGATTGCACAAAATGCATATTGTACAAATTCCAATGTGAATTGCACAAAATACAATTGTGGATTGCACAAAATACAACCGTGAATTGCACAAAATACAACTGTGGATTACACAACGGTGAATTGTACAAAATATACCTGTGCATTGCACTAAATACAACCGTGAATTGTACAAAATACAAATGGGGATTGCACAAAATACAACCGTGAATTGTACAAAATACAAATGTGGATTGCACAAAATACAAATGCGGATTGCACAAATGCATATTGTACAAATTCCAATGTGAATTGCACAAAATACAATTGTGGATTGCACAAAATACAACTGTGGCTTACACAACAGTGAATTGTACAAAATACACCTGTGGATTGCACAAAATACAACAGTGGATTGCATGAAACTGAATAAAGACACTGGTTTCATGTGATATGAAATAGGCAGTGTTGATGCTGGAGTGACATTGAAATATTTTACCAATGTGATTGTGTATTCCTATGACCTCACAACCAATATTCAGGTAATTAATCAGAACAACGACTAACGGTAGATTGATGACGTGGCCCAGTTGGTAAGGTGTTGTTTCGTCCAAACTCAGGATCGAATTCCCATTATTAAAGTCTATTGACACTGACATTGACATTGATTGACGCGGTGCAATTACATCTATCATGGAGCCGAGCAATCACTCAATCAGGCATGTCACGATTCCGTTTCTACTCATCTCCAATTATATTGGGCAAGGCTAATGCCAGCAAAGGCAACCAATCGTTCAAAACTCCTTCATAGTACATTGATGGGACATAAGTATTCGTCAGTCGGCAAAATTATCATAGACTTGCATGTTATTTTAGTGTAGCTGTAATAATTGTCATTAATTCGGTTTTCGTTATTTGGTTGTCAAATTTTGCAGGCTGTTAGCAAATCATGTTGGTCATAGATACATAATTTCCATGTAATGTTCCTTCAAGTATTTTCCGCATTGTAGTTACATGAGCAACATATAATACAGCATTGTGTATTCTTTACCCATAGACCGCCATGTTAAAAATTGTCATAACCATTACAAGCATCAATCAAAGTGTGGTCATTATTGAAATACTGAATGGAAAATAAAACGGAAGATATGTCTTTGCAGCTGAGATGATTCATGACACAAGATCAAACGAAAATTAAATTCAAGACAGTTTATCTAGCTGCACCAAATTAACAGTCTATGGAAATTATGCACAGTGACGAATACTTATGTCCAATGACTGTACGAACTAAAATCAGTAACAGGGGATTTGAGCAAAAAGCGAATGCTATAACATTCTACTACCTTTAACATTCTACTACCTTTAACATTCTACTACCTATAACATTCTACTACCTATAACATTCTACTACCTTTAACATTCTACTACCTATAACATTCTACTACCTATAACATTCTACTACCTTTAACATTCTACTACCTATAACATTCTACTACCTATAACACTCTACTACCTTTAACATTCTACTACCTTTAACATTCTACTACCTTTAACATTCTACTACCTATAACATTCTACTACCTTTAACATTCTACCTAACATTCTACTACCTATAACATTCTACTACCTTTAACATTCTACTACCTTTAACATTCTACTACCTTTAACATTCTACTACCTTCAACATTCTACTACCTATAACATTCTACTACCTTTAACATTCTACTACCTATAACATTCTACTACCTTTAACATTCTACTACCTTCAACATTCTACTACCTTTAACATTCTACTACCTATAACATTCTACTACCTTTAACATTCTACTACCTATAACATTCTACTACCTTTAACATTCTACTACCTATAACATTCTACTACCTTTAACATTCTCTACTATAACATTCTAACATTCTACTACCTATAACATTCTACTACCTATAACATTCTACTACCTATAACATTCTACTACCTTTAACATTCTCCTACCTATAACATTCTACTACCTTTAACATTCTACTACCTTTAACATTCTACTACCTATAACATTCTACTACCTTTAACATTCTCCTACCTATAACATTCTACTACCTTTAACATTCTACTACTTTAACATTCTACTACTTTTAACATTCGGCAGCGCTCTAGTTAGTGTGCACTGACTTCGGATAAAGTGTTTAAACTTTCGACAACCAAACAACACATGTTAAACTTTACAGTAAATACAGTAACACTCTTATAATGAACTGTTTGTGTCCTATTGGTACTTACAGTATATTTCAGCCGAAATATGTATAACAAAATACGATTTAACGAACAAAAATAGTTGAGTTCGTTAAATCCGTAGTTTACTGCACTTCGTTTAGTTTGTGAACTGTTCTTCCACGGCTAAAGTGAGTGAGTGAGTGAGTATGGTTTTACGCAACTTTTAGCAATATTCCAGCAATATCACGGCGGGGGGCACCAGAAATGGGCTTCACACATTGTGCCCATGGGGGGAATCGAACCCGGGTCTTCGGCGTGACAAGCGAACGCCTAACCATTGCTATAGACCACTAACCACTGTCGTAGGGGGCTGTATATTTGAGCTGAAGGAAAAGTCTGTATATTCAGCTCAGCCTTCCTAATGTATTCGCCTTCGAATCATTCAAATAATTATACTGTTTACAAACGAGTTATCTCCCCATGACCCGCATAGTGATAAAGTTTGTTTATCCTCAGAAAAAATTCACTAACGGTGGTACATGAGAATATAGATACAACATAAATTCATATATATCTTTATCAAGATAAAGATTGTAATAAAGATAAAGGGGGTTGGGGGCAAATGCATATTGTGGGTGTTTGTATGAAATAGGAAAGAATTTAATTAACATGAGTCTCATATAGCTGCTTAGATTGATGAATTTAGACACGTTTTTAACATCTTTTACCCTGGTACTGCATAACTATTTTTCCAGTTTATACATATTAGACTCCTTCGTAGAGATCTTTATGGATGTATGTAGACCCTGACTTGAGAAGGGCTTCACAACTTTAAAAAGTAGTGGAACTCGTCATCAACCGCTGGGGAACTGCATTAACTGTACAAACGTTCCACTCTTGGGGTATCAGACCAGCGTCCGGTTTCAACTGGTAAGTTGTGGTTTGCTGTTCTATGTTTCAAGATTGGATAATAGATGTTTTTAAGAAGATAAACGTATCTTTCAAAACTGACAATGTCTTTAGAAATGTATAGTGCACACCTTTAGAAAGAGTTTTCGCGGAAACAATTAAGACAGGTATATAATATATCTGTCTATACAACATAGGAGTATCACGAAAGTTGCTTCTGAGAGTCGCCCTAAGTTTGATTGATTGAGTTTAGTTTTACTCCACACTCAGCAATATTCCAGCGGCGGTCTGTAAATAATCGAATCTGGACCAGACAATCCAGTGATCAACAGCATGAGCATCGATATACGCAATTGGGAACCGATGACATGTGTCAACCAAGTCAGCGAGCCTGACCACCCGATCCCGTTAGTCGCCTCTTACGACAAGCATGGGTTACTGAAGACCAATTCTAACCCGGACCTTCACGGGTCAAAGATAACTTTGACATTTCTCATTTGAAGTTTAAATGTTCCATAACTAGGTTTAAACAAATCTGTGATATATTGCTAGTTGTTATTTTGTACATTTCTGACAGTTTTACAAATTATCGTATAACAGTATACTTTCATCAAGTCACAATATGGATGAAATACGCCGATGTGACTTAAATTAACAAAGTCACCACAATGAGGTTTGGCATGACGCAGCTCAATTGGTGTTCCTGTCAAGATGTTGGTGGAGGGCTTATAGGCGTAATGATATTATGGAAGGAATTTCATATTTTTTTGTTTAACGCATCACACCAATCTTGCAGTTAAATGACGGCGGTCTGTTAGCAATCGAATCTGAACCAGACAATCCAGTGAATGATATCATGATAACAGTTCTATTTAATTTTGAAACGATGTCATCAAAGGAGATAATAATGCTGCTGCTACTACTACTACTACTACTACTACTACTACTACTACTACTACTACTACTACTACTACTACTACTACTACTACTACTACTACTACTACTACTACTACTGACGGTACTAGCCTAGTGGTTCGATTCCCCACATGGGTACAATGTGTGAAGCCCATTTCTGGTGTCCCCCCGCCGTGATATTGCTGGAATATTGCTAAATGCGGCGTAAAACTAAACTCACTCATTCACTCACTCACTCACTCACTACTACTAGGACTACAATTACTGCTGCTACTACTAATGCTACGAATAAAAGTAATGATACTGTAAATACTTCTAATACTTCTGCTATAACTAGTACTACTTCTGCTGCTATACAGATTAGAAGAAGAGAAAACAATCTAGGGTAAAGGCGTGGAAAGGAACAGGCATTTTCGTTAAAGGCACGGATGCCTTAGATGCTTTTACAACACGAAACTAATTATCACACCATTACACTTGCCACAAAACAGACAGCCATTTAAAAAAACGCTATTAATTACAAAAAGTCCATGTAATCCTTACCTGAAAGCACAAGTAGCCCTATCACAATCCGAAACATTTTTGCTTTGTAATCCACGGAAACGGCGTCTCGTCTTAGCCAGAACTCTTCTTCAAGATCTCTGCAAAGCCACTACCCCAAGTTGAAGATAGTGGACATGAGTGTAAATATACCCGTCCATGGCGGAAACCACGCCCCCTGTTGTCGTGACGGTATAAAGCAGAGAAGGACATTTATATGTCATATATCCATCACAGGACACATCAATCTCCGAGAGAGATGTACATGTAATGTACAACGTCGTGTTCCCAACAGCAGCCTGCTTGTTGACGTGAACGACTCACATTCCTTGTCTGACGTAATGAATTTCATCCTTTCGCATTGTTGTGGGTCTCATAAAGATAACCCGTAGACAAGCAGGTGCTTTGTTAGATCATATGTAACGCACAGTAATACTGCTTCCAGTTTATATCTTCATCAAATATAATTCTGTATTCATTAAAATTTGTTATTCATACATATTATTTTTATTTGTACACACCCAATCTGAATGTACACCTACTGAATTGAAATGAGTAAAAAAGATTTGTTTTTAAAATATAATTCTGTAGTACTAAGTTTAAACATGTATCTATGAAGAACAGTATTTATGTTATACACCATTAGACGTGATATGTAAATGAAACTATTCCTCAAATGGAATTCAACTGAAGACCTTGTTCTCTGTGTAACTGTTGATTCTTTAAAGATATTTTAGGCACTAGTATGCTGATCTACCTTCAGTCGTTGGCAATCTATAGCCTGTTTTTATATTGTATTGTCATTTATAGTTCCAATATTTTAGATTTAATTGCTAGTCTTAAATGGATATCTGTGATACACTAGTAGTTTTACTGTTCTTCGTCAACAGGTTTTTTTAATTTCTAACTTTATTGATCCTTACTATAATTATAAAATGTTCTCGTCACCATATGGCTGAAATATTGCCGATGTGACCATAAACCTTAACTCACTCACTCACTCACTTAAAGATATTTTAAACAGCATTAGACGTGATCTGTAAATGAAACTTATCTCAAATGAAATTCTGCTGAAGTTGGATGATATACCGATACATCAAGAAATAAAAGAACTTGTTCTCTGTGTAACTATAGATTCTTTAAAGAATTCTATCATTTCTTGTTTTCATGTCCATTTGTTTAGAATTTAGAACATCCCATTTCCGAATATATATAAAAGTTAGTCTGTAATATGTGTTCACAGTAATATGAAACCTAGAACGTGCAAAATAATACCCTGTTTGAGTGGCATTTAGAAGCTGGTGTGATGAACAACGAGGAGAGTTCTATGGATATACAACTTCTTTAATATAATATGAGGGACGTTTCGGTGTAGCTACTAACATTGTTATCTTTGTTTGATAACGGTGTTAGTAGCTACACCGAAACGTCGCTCATATTATATTAAAGAAGTTGTATATTCATAGAACTCTCCTCGTTGTTTAAAAGAATCCCCAGTCTAGACTATCCTCAGGAACAAATTCCGTCCGGTGGGAAAATTATATGAAAATAACTGATGACACCAGGTGTCCGTGAGTCCGTGAAAAGCGTAAGCATATCCTGCCAGGTGTTCGCGTTAACGCAAACACCTGCGTGTTTCACGCAAATAAATCTACGTTTCACGCACGATATTTTCTACCTGCGTGTTCTGCGGGCAAAGCATTTTGTGTTCTGGGAACAAGTAACCGATAAACGTATTTTCCCCAAGGAAAATAAAATAAAGCTTCTCTCAGCTAATTTGACTTGCGAATGATGACAACATGCTCTGAAGTGCAAGGAAATTACGTCTAAATTTCCCCTTCACACCCCACACCGCGAGATATCGCCTTTTTTTGGCTTGGTCATACACCTGTGGTGCATACACTCGCAAGATTCTTGGTGCTTTGCTTTTATGAACGCACAGCAATTTTTCCTACCGCGAACACTGACTTGACGACGGTACATGACCACTGAGGCGGAAAAGAGTATTTATAACCAAAGTCATCAGACATGGGCGTGTGTTTTGCTTTGTGACCCGTTTAATATACTGTTTTGTTCCTGAATAATGAATGAATGGGTTTTTTCGTAACACCTTGTGAAGTATGTTCAGATGAAATGACATTTGTAAGGCCAGTATTTGAATGTATTTCCAGTGTGCCAGTTGTAGCGGGATAAACCAGCTCATTTAGAAGATGGACCGTACAAAATGCACGTTATTGACACAAATGTGTGATGTTGTCGAATGTGGCGATTATTTCCAGTACTGTATAGCTTGTAGGGTTGGAAGTTTCATATTCAGCAATGTGATGAAATACTTAAAACATATGATGTGACTTGAAGATGGTTGGTCGGTTTGTTGCTTAAAGCCGAACTCAGCAATATTCCAGCTATATGGCGGCTGTCGGTAAATCATTGAGTCTGGACCAAACAATCCCATGATTAACACCATGAATATCGATCTACGTAATTGGGATGCAATGACATGTGTCAAAACAAGTCGGCAAGCCTTACTACCCGACCCAGTGAGTTTCCTCTTACGACCAGCATGGTTTACTGAAGACTAATTCTAACCCGGATCTTCACGGGTCCAATTTGTAAAGAGATGCAGTATCTCAGACGTTTTCTCCCGTGAACCGTTCGATCCCCGACCGCGTCATACCAAAAGACGATAAAATATGGTACTTGTTGGTCCCTGCCTGGCGCTCGGCATTAATGGGTACAACAAGGACTGGTCGGCTCGGAGTCAGTATAATGTGTCTGAGTGGGGTATTCATGCTTCACTGCGGCATGGTATCTCAGTGGGCTAGCACTATAAAACCAGCTTCAGCCTGGGCTAGTACAAGCAGCCTAGTACCCTATTTCACCTCACCTCAACTCACCTTCACCGTGAACCATGAGTGCGGGTGGTGCTGAAAATCCTAGAAACATGATCGGGGCGAACCGCAATTTGAACCAATAATCGTTGTTTTCTGCGCAACTAATTGCGTCGCTTTAGCCAACTGGGCCGCCCATACACTTCACTAAACAAGGTACACAGATTGTGTACACGGAGTGTCTCCACAGGCAGGACGCTTTGTTAAACTCTTCTCCAAGCAGTGAATTGGAACCCGAGAGGATGGCTGTTAACAATCTATCGCCTCCCTAGACAGGAGACTTTGTTAAAATTATGCCACCGTTCTCCTAGCAGTGAATGTGTACCCGGTATGATGACTTCCAGTACCTCATACGATAGGTTTATATCCTCCCAAGGTAGCTGAGAATAGAAATATAATAAATTGACTAATTAATACTATTTAACCACACTGATTTGGTTAACTGGAATGCGTGTTAGCGAGGATAGTCTTACTTAATTCTATATCACTGTTTCCTCCTGACATATAAGATGTGTTGTCAACAGGTTGCTCGAATTCTAGGGAATAACGTCAGTTGACGGTTCCGATCATCCCATCGCTCCTGTGGTCGCCTGCTGATTAAAACGTTAGCACATTCTGACGAATACCCGGGTTTGATTCCCCACATGGGTACAGTTTCTGAAGTCCATCCTGATGATCTCCGCCGTGATATTGCTGGAATATAGCGGCGTAAAAACATTCGTTCGCCCACTCAATCGTCATGTGTCAAAAGAGTTTACTAACGCGATTTGGTCACACTAGCGTACTTGCTTGACTTGTGTCACTGGATTGTCTGATTCAGACTCGATAAATTTACAGACCGCTGCCATATAGTTGGAATATTGTTTAATATAGAGTTAAACATCAAACAGACAAACCAAAGTTTTTTAGCATAGATTTAAAATGTGAAATGTAAGGATGCAAGTATTTCAAACATGGAACGTCATAAAAAAATTTTTAAAAAAACCCAGAAGATCATAATCATCCAAATAGGACCTGCACGAAGCCATCGAGCCTGACGTGACTAGCACGGGGTTATGGGAAGATGAAGATGCAACCGTTTCAAACACGGAACGAGATAAAGAAAGCTTGAAGATCATAAACACAGGCCCTTCTCTGACATGAGGTGAGGTGAGGTGAAATTGGGTTTTACGTCGTGCTTGAGAATATTTCGCTCATATGACGACGTGCATGCGTGTGTATGTGTATGTGCGGCTGCTTGTATTAGCCCAGACTTAAGCTGGTTTTATAGTGCTAGCTCACTGAGATACCATGCCGCAGTGAAGCATGAATACCTCACTCAGACACATTATACTGACTCCGAGCCGACCAGTCGTTGTTGTACCCATTAATGCCAAGCGCCAGACAGGGACCAACAAGTACCTTGTTTTAACGTCTTTTGGTATGACGCTCTCTGACATGAACCACCTTTACGTAGACTGCTGAGATTACATCACCGGGATCTCTGGCATAGTGTGGGCATTGTTGCTTCAAAATTAATTGATTAATGAAACAATAAATTTAATCAAGGTTTACAATGGACATTTGCTTAACCCATCGCCATGGGCAACAAGATTAATGGAGCGTTGTTGTCACGGCTGACTGCTTGTGTAGAAGTGTCCCCAATTCTTGATTTAGTTTAGGAGGTATCCTTCCCGAGATTCATTAATGTCATCAAGTGAAAAGCCAGGCCTCCTTCTGTAGAAAGTTCACGAGTTTCTTGACGAGAATGGGCGTGTGTGATATAATTTATTTCCCACATTATATATGTCGGAGCGTAAATGATAAAACTTGACCAAGTGGTGGTGTGTGGTCTTGCGCATAGAGCCCAGGTCAGAAATCACTTGAAATTAAGCAACGTTGGTAACGGAGGTTCCTTGGGTGTGTATGGTATTATAATATTTTCCACATTATATATCTGAGGGTAAATGATAAAACCTGACCAAGTGGTGGTGTGTGTGTGGTTTTATACATAGAACCGGGGTCACAAATCAGTTGAAATTGAGCAACGTTGGTCACGGAGAGTCCTTGGATGGGTGTGATATTATGTTGGTGAGTAAATGACAACACATGAACACAAGTCAACATCCTCTCAACCAGACATCAGTACTTCACACACACAGAGAACTCCCAGAAGTTATTAAATCACAGTCGCAAACCTTTCATCAACAGAAGCAGATTAATATCATCTATAAAGAT